AACCAATCCCATTATTTCAAAATCTGCACTCCTGCTTTCCCCGGGGAATAACTCTTATTTCAAAATAGCAGTAGTGTGGATGCTCCAGTGCCGTTATTTTGAAGTAACTACTCCCCGGAGTAATTCCAAATAATTATTCCCCAGTGCTTCTTGGGGCTCTACATCAAGGTAGCACATCCACAATAACTGGGCCTGCCTTGGATTCATTTCAAGACTCCCCGGTAGTAAGGAAATGCTATTTCAATTTTGTTATTTCGGAAGTTATTATTTTAAATGTAGTTATTTTGAAATCATTTCCTAGTATAAGCATGGCTTAGAGGAGCTACACCGGGAGATCTGTTCTTCGTATTTGAACCCTTTTGCTTTCTGTTTCCATAAAAATTCAAACAGGAAAGCAAGTTTCCTTTCCTTTCTTTTCCTTCTATATCTAGATTACACCATTTTTAAACTGTTCCATGTCCAGGGAACACAGATACTCTTCTGTTCTACGAGGAAGAAGGGGGCTTCCCAAAGAGGTATTTTTTTCAGACATTTGGCCCAATCTAGACTGGACAAATGTTGGAAAAGCCTCTCCAAAAAAGTATAGGAAAACGCAGATTGTGGAGCACATTTTGCATAGCTTTTTTTGAAAAAGAGAGGTAGTCTCAACTCCACCGAAGAATGACAGGTTTCAGATGTAGCCATGTGAGAGCAGGGGGACAGGGATGCAAGTGGTATCTCAGAGCTAATTCTGTCAGGATGGCTGCGGATAAGAGAGAACACCGAAAGGCCAAAATTATTTATAGTAATGAGTGAGCCTATGACCCAGTGGGGGCGTGCTGTCTGCTCTATAATCCAGTATGGTATAGTGGTGCCTTGACCTCCACTGGTGGCTATTTGTAGTAGGGCGTGCTGTCTGCTCTATAACCCAGTATGGTATAGTGGTGCCTTGCTGGTTGGTGGGCTTGGGCACTGGGTGACCTCTATTTGTAGCAGGGCCCGACAAGGCAGGTCGCCTCCCAGGGAGAGAGACTAAGGAAGGAAGGCAGAGACCAACCCCTATCTAGGGGGCAGGGCTGGAAGAGAGTCAGTTTCTGTCTGGTATCATGGAGGAAGCAGCCTAAGCAAAGGGCTGGGATTTAGGGGCCCAGTCTCCCCCATCTCAAGGGGGGCTGAGGCATCCTAGGCCTGCCCTGTAACCAGATGACATCTGTGCTGTGCTGTATCCTGGAGAAGCAATAAACTCCCTCTATTCGACTGACTGGTGGATCTGTTTGTGCCATTACAGGGGTGCAGGAGTTGGGGGAACCCCGACGCACTGTCAAAGAGCCAATCCGAGTTCTAGACAGACCTTTTCTGAAGGTGTCAAAATTTCATATGCATTCCAGCTCAGCTGTTGCAAGTTGGAGCTCATTTTTGAAGGGGTTTTTTTTGCTTGAGGATGGCAACTTTCAATGTTGCTTACTCTTCCCCAAGAATCACAGAACAATTTAAATCCTTCCTGCCTCTTTCATAGCAGCATCCAGTTACATTGTTTTCTACCAACCTACACAAAATACCTTGGGCCATTTCCTTAACAGCCCAATGGGGACAAAAAGAATGACAGCATTTACTCCAGTTTTTTATATCCTGACCATTAATAATTTTACACGAAGCAAGATCCTACAATTACTTTTTACATCAAGTGATTTCTTGAAAAGGAATCTCAATAGAACAGGCATGACAGTGAAGTGAGATAGGTAGAATTAAAATGAGTGATAACATGTATCCACACCGTTAGCACCTTCAACATGGGGCTCTCAAAGCAACACAACTAATAATAGTGAGTTACTAAGCAGGAATCTGCAATTGTTAAAGAGACTGGACACATAACTGGCAAGCCACCATCTTGCATTCCTGGGATGTGGTGTGTCGTATCAGGGGGTGGAATGTGGCCAGACAGCCTGCCTCCATATCATCCATCTTATTTGCCTTCCTAAAGCACTGGGCAGGGAAGGAGCAATAATATCAGCATAGTCTATGCTGGCTCATCTGATCCTGAGAAGCTGAAAACATAGATATCAGGAGAGTGCAGGGAAGGAGCAATAATATCAGCATAGTCTAT